TAACTGGAAGTGAACTAACAGAATTGTTTACACAAGGATTGTGCATTAAAAAAAAATACACAGCGCCTGCAACAACCATTTCTCCAAGGGAATGGAGGAGTATGATCCTGAACCGTGGCCAATTCGCCTTGACGCTGTAAGTCATGAGCCGGACGATAAATAAGCTAAGAGACAAGGGTGTAATTCTCGCTGCCTGGCGACGCGGCCCTCAGCTCCCATCAACTCCCGAGTTCCACTCGCTCACTTACGGCAGACCGATCACTCCTGGAACTCTGCTTCAGCTATATTCACTAGCGCATGCTGAAGCGATCATCATGCGCTTTTTCCCTTCACCGTCTGGATGTATACTTTCTCGAGTGTGTGTATTTTATCAAGCGAGTTAATGCTTAAATCAACATCGAATGCCGTATCAATCACTTGGGCAAGGTTTTCCTTGTGTTTTTAGCGTCAACTCTGAGCGTACACAGGAAATTTCATTACTGGCAGGCTGGAATTGTGTGGGTTATAGTCCACTATCACGCGAGCATCGGAAATCCATTATGGTGCTTAGGTTTTCACAGTTTTAGAGACTTTCTTGCATTTTTTGAAATTACTTGGTTCAATTAGAATCATATGAAATTAATGCTGAATTGAATTGTGAGTTCATTAAGACACTCAGATTAAAATAAAACTTTATAAAAATTGGCACAGAATTAGGACAAGTATATATGAAACTAAGATTTGGTATTCACGAAATTCTCCGGTAGCTCTCAGCCCAGACGATGCCTCCTCAAAAAAACAAAACAAAACAAAACAAAAAGCAAGAATTGTAGCATTGTCTGAAGGAACTGTTGGGGGGGGGGCAAAGGCCCTAGTTGCGCCCCCATCCGCCCTTTGCCAGCGATCATCTACCAGATCCAAGTGGTTGAAATGACAAAGTCAAGACAAGATGTTTTAATGCCAAAATAACTCATGTCTATCGGATGTGAAAAGTACATGCTGTTCTGCATTCAAGGATGCCTTCTTTAAAAATAATCCGGCTGCGTCTGTTTTCTGCTTCGTTTAGACTTCCGCGATCAGTTTCAAACAGTTACTCTTAAACAGCGTGGAATCATGGAAATAGTAGCACACGAAATTAGGCAGATAAGTGAGATGCATTGAGCCAAGGGGCTTCAAAATTATAAGGCTTCTAACTTCCTAAAACCAAAACCAAAGCTTAAAGCGGAATATGAGATAAGTCTTAACACTTCACGGAATAACTTTGATCATCCTAAATGTAACAATATTCTTCTAATCAACACTCTGAAGCGTCCAGGGGTGCCCATGACATTCTGTTGTGTTTTTCACAATTTTACTAAACAATCATTTCCCAACTTTGAAAATCCAGCAATCATTAGAAACACATGATCTCCTTTAAAATAGCCTTTGTCTACAGAAATAGTGCTAGCTTTTTCCGGTGACTCTATAAACGTTGCTGAATACCGAAATTAAATTACGAAGCAGAGCACGTGGTTGTCGAGCTGAGTGCAAGTACCAGGGCGGTAATCTAATATTAAATTCCCAGAAACAACAGCGTGCAATTTCATTGATTGGTGACGACATTCGCTGACAACATCTCTCGAAAACAGCTGTTGAAAAAGAAGATGGCTTTACCTGAGTTATCTGCTGATTCACAGCATCGTGTTCGCCGCGGACTGTAACGTACGGGTTGCAAACTTTCAAAGAATCTTTGCTTTGATAAAGTTTTTGGTTTTGCCAAATTGATCGGTTGTCTCTCGCCTTTCATCACTCGCGATTGATGAAACTTAAGCAAAGGTCCAGCCTATTATTCTTAAACATGTTGCGAACACACTGGCACCAGGAAAACTATACTTCGCAATATTTATTTTATTTTTAATTCATTTTTATATTTGCCTGATCAAGGTGATAATTGTTTCTAATACATGTACATGGTACATGTACTCGCAATTTATCAGTTGCGATTGCTTGAATGCGTAAAAAGGTCTAATTGTATTTTCATTGCAATAATGTGCAGTGCATTGCTGGATTTTGTCCATCATGCGTAATAATTAGACCAGTGCTCCATCCGTGAGCAGTTCCTGTGGGGAGGTGTTTATGTAAGTTGACAATGTCCTCCTTTCAATAGAGTGAGCCTTGTCCTCAAAAATAACAAGGAATCATTAGGGTATATCAAACAAACTGATGAAAATTCAGCACGTGTCGAAGAATTTAAGAAGTGTACATGAAAACTCAAGGCAGAGGGATTATACATTGATGCACGTTACCAAGCGCCAGGCAGCGTAAAATTTTAAAGAACTCTAGTTCATCACGGTTGACCTCCTATTTGACCTCCAAAAGCTCTTAACGGCAGCATCAATCGCATGAGATTTGAAACTTCAGGTTTCAGACTAGAACCTTTCCCTAAAGACGTTAGGCCATTCGTTCTTATTCAACTACATGTACTCCCACGGTCGAAGCTAATACAACGATCCAAGGAAACATTGGAAATTAAGGAGACTGGGACCGGATTAGGCCGGAGTCAGTGTGAGAGTTGTGGTTAGGGTTATAGATACAACTTCAGCCAGGGAAGGTTACGAGGGTTCATGTTTGGGTATTTGCAGTGGGTAAGGGTCAGGATCAAGTCTACGGAGATAGAGTTGGGATTAAGGTATAGTTGGGTTTGGGGTCGGTATGGGATCATTTTGGAAGGAAGGAGTTACAATGAAGATATATTACGGACACCTACTACTTTTACTTCAGTACAAGTTTTGAATCCAGACGAATGGTTTGGTTTAGGCGGAGTAAGAGAAAAGATTATGGTATTGGTTACGATTCAGACTTATCACATCCGGATACTGCGAACGAACGAGAGGATATGGGATGAAGATGAGTAAGGGATGGTGTGGCACTGGAGTCGGGGATTTTGTTGAGCCTAGAATGATGAAAGTGCCATCACTTCAAGCTTTTTTATTTTGAAAAAAAAAACGGGTACAAGAAGAGGCCTAGAGTGTGGTTTTATGTTATGTTCACACTGTTGGTTATTTTGAGAACCTAAGGCGGTTTACCATCTACATGCGCGCAATGAAATCAGGATTCAAGGTTTCGCTCAATTTGTTTTTTTATTGGCTCATCCTTAATTTGGGAATACTGTCAAGCACTGCTTGGATACCGAAATGGTCTCCAAGCAACTGCGTCACATCTGCTCATCAAAAACGTCGGGAGCATTTCTCCAACGGGCGTAGCTTTTACAGGCGCCCTGACAGATGACACGATCCCTGCAAGCGCCACTATTAAGACATTTTCTGAGACATTCGGGTCTTGGTCTGCTTCTACCAATGTTATGGAAAGCAATAACCTGTATCAGTAAACCTGTCGAAATCTGAAGAACGAAAATTATCTTGTTACATGTATACGACCTCAAGATTTAATTTCTGCCGTTCGCATCATTCCAGTTTAGAGACTCACCCGGGTGTAAATTACATCACCAGCGGCGTCGATTATGCCAACAAGTGCACGATCACGAAACCACACATTATAATGCTTCTCCAAAGGGGATGCTAATTAAACATTTGGTTAGAAGCTATCTCAAAATTAAAACCTCCAAATGTTCAAGCAAGCGCGGTGTTGACACGAACTGACCACCAACCGGCCGGAGTAACTAGGGGGCTAGTCGATCTGGTCAACTCCGTGGGAACTATCGACGCTACGCGGTGTGTGATGCGAAGGGGCGTACGCTACGCCACCAACACGAAAGGTGCAAATTAAATTTGTGTTTCCAGATAAATTTCCGTGACAGCGACGATTTGTCAACAGGCATTTTGACGTCACAGCCTCGCCGGCCGTTGCCTAGCGACGGAATGCGTGCGTCTGACCGCGAGGATGAATTATGAGCAATTGGCTCGCAAGGGACGGTTGGTATAGTGCTTTTTACCAGAAGCGCAGGGGCGATTAAATATGGGGGGGGGGGCTTGACGGGCAACCGCCAGTGCAAAAGCAGATCAGTTACAAATCAATTTGAAGACAAACACAGTGTCCGTTTTGCACCGAATCAGCCACTGAATTCTACATTTTGGAATCATAAGAATGCTGCTTCAAAGATACATTGCCTGGAACAACGCATCTGGTTGTAGGAAAAGCTTGTTAACTTAAGTTGGTTCGGCGCAACCACTTATCATGAGCGGAAGGAATAAAAGCGACAAAAATAGAAACTTACCCCGACACCCCCCCTCCAAAAAAAATGGCGGCAAAGAGCAAAGAATGCTTCCAACTTGGCAGTCAGGGCTGGTTCCTTTTATCAGAAAAAAAATATTCAAAAATTTCCTCGTTAATTAAGGAGAAATCCCCAAAGGGCGTGTTCAAAACAGTGTTGGGGGTTGTTTACCGATTGGGAAAGGGGAAGAAAGAATCATGAATTTGCCACCTTAACCATGAAATGCTTCCAAGCCCATACACCCATACGCAAGGGCCTACCAACATGAAATTGGTCTCAAACTTGGCAGGAAGGGATAACATCAAACTAATCATCCAGTCTTTTTAGATGATCAAACATTAATTGACCAGTGTTCTCGAATCACCACCAGGAGCCTCCTCGATGACATAAAATGCAAACTGAAAAACATATGCGCCCCAAAACCACATATAAATCATTCCACAACAAAAGAATTACATTGTTAACGACAAATTCCCAGTCAGTGGGGCCTGTGTTAAGTTGCTGTAGCTGGTACTTGGCTTGTGCTTTATATTAATGCCGCGTAAATTGCAAGACATTTCTTTCAACTGTTTCTTGAATTCCTGCCTGGTTGGTTTAATTCTTAACCCTTAGTTCCTGAAACCCATGAACCACCATGGAAGGTTTACATAGAGAGTCAATACTTGTTTGAAAAGGTGAACCTTTTGATGGTTAAACTTGAGTAGTGTGCCTAACAATCTTTATAAAAGGGTATCTTCTGTAATTTTCTCCCCAAGTAAAGTGAGTAAAAAATCTTAATGAGCGAAATAGTGACTCAAGGACACACAAGCTGTATTTGTCCGAATAATAAACTGTTTTATTGAACAAATTAAAATAGGTTTTACACTCTACATTATACCACAATTGCCAAATCAAAGACACAATCGTCCGTCGAGTTGGCACTATCATACTCGTCTTGTGCACTGCCAGAAGAAAAGTAAAGAAAACAAAACAAAAACAGAATGCAGATGTTTATTGTTCCAGACCGCCTGACGTACACAAAATGACTGACAGCGACATTTGTGTGGAACTGCCTGTCGTAACAAATAAAGAATGCGACAACTTCAATAGGCGGCATTTCTGTGGTTTTTTTTATAACTTGCCAAAACTTTCAATCGCCAGCAGCACATAGATAACATAGGATAATGAAAAGAGAAAAGCTACAACTAAGATAACAAGTGACCGTTTATTGTGGAAAAGAGTTTTAAAAGTAGGCAGGCTACTTTATAAAAAGAAGGAATGCAACTAACAAATAACCATGTGACGTCATACTTTTTGCTTCTATCTCTGATTAATTCTTTTTCAGACTGTTATTTAGACAGGAATGAAACTGGAAAGTAGTCTCTGAAATTTATTACGAAGTCAACCACCCTGTAAAGAAGGAAAACCGAATCCCCCCTTAATTTAACAGTACTTTTGCCAATTCAGATATTAGCAACACCAGCTGAAACAAACACTTGGGTTTATGCCGATAGTTTATCAATGTCAAGCTATCTGCTTGAACACCGCTATCTGTTAGATCACACCAAAAAAACCGAATAAAGAAAATAAATTTATGGCCTCCAAGCTGCAAGCCAAAAGACAGCTTCCTGTCTCAAGGTAAGCACATTAATTTCTTTTCCTATTGAAAGCAAAGACTGACCATAAATAAGGTATAAACATCTGGGGTGTTTAATTTCAAAACATCCTGTTTTTAATCAGACTGACATGACTCAGAATCTAATCCAATCTGACGGCAGACCAAAACAAAAATGACGCACATGCACAAAGAAAAGACATTTGAGTGCGTTCAAGGGGAGAATCGCTTTTCTTACGTAATGGTTCATATTACCAGTTTTCTTACGCAATGATTGATACCAAGTGCACCTGTGTAATGAAATAACAGAGTGTACAGATATATTAACAGTTTGGCAAAGAGTGTACAAAAATACACGAAGTCCTGCTTTGCCTCTGTTGAAACTTTAACCTTAACCAATTTCGCGGGCAAGACGAGTATGAGAAGGGAGGAGTAGAGAAATGACATCTCGATGACTCACACTCATATGTCGACTCTGAACTGAGTCATTTTTGGACGTCTGCCTACCTCCAAATGTTTGGGTCATTTGTCATTACAAACTGAATGGCAATTATTGGAAGTCATTTATGAACAAGAAATGACTACTTCCCCCCCCATCGAGTCTTTGTCATGGAAACGAATTGAAAGAATTCAATCAAGTGAAACGGCATATTTTTGGTTTACCCCTGTTCAATACAGCGATATAGGCTCAATGTGAGGTAACAAATTTATTGTGACAAATACTCTCGTGTCAAATGCAGATCAAAAGCCTACAGAATTAGGGTAATATAATATCTTAACCGGGAAATAAATCGAGCCTTAGGTACTGTGTGAGGTTAGCATTTCCAATGATACAAATATCATCCTTCACTCATATATCAATCCCACATTTGTATCTTGCAAATGAACACCCTTGCATTGGTGCTGGTTTCGGTATTTATGAAATCTTTAGAATGGGCATTTTCAAGTGATGGTCACTTGGGGTTGATCATGGAGGATCCTTCCTCCATGGGTTGATTAACCCTGCTTTAAAGATTTTTACAGACTGGCCTAAAGGCATGAAAAGAACACAGTTCAAATTTATGACATTTAAGGAATGTGTGATTACAATAAATCTTTTTGTATTAAAGACGGATATGTACGCAATACACAAAATTAGACTTATTCATTAAATTTTTACATGCGACTGTCCTGTGAAATAGCGTCTTACGACCTAAAACTTAATCAGTGGTTTTGATTCAAAACCTAGGGGAAAAATTAGTGAAGCAGTTTTTCTGAACTGATTAACTGTTTCCATCTTTGGACAGCTGGATTAAATTAATATTGACACTGTGCCATAACAAAAGGTCCTGGTTATATCAACGACATGTGCGTGCATTTTTCTATGGGTGACCTTTGTCTCTGGTATGATAGGGAGATAATGAAGACGGCCTCTGGTGAAAATGACAAGAAGCGACCTTGCTGGTCTACAGCTTAAGGCTTCGTGTCGTAAGATTATTTGGCTCGGGATGAACCTGGTGAAACGACCGTCAGTCTCGGAGCTGGATTGAGGAATCCCTTTCCTCATTGTCGGGCGCAGGGATGACACTGTGGAAGAAACTACAAGAAGAAATGCCTGTCTTGATAGCCATCACAGGCACTGCTTGTCGGAGGGGGGAATTGAAGGGTGCAGACCACTAATTCAAGTGAGAATTTCTGGCCAGCTCATTAGCATTAAAAGTGCCCCCACAGTATCTTTTGAAAAGGAGATTGTTTGGCCCCCAAAATGGTGAGATTGTGTAAATCGTTGCCAGGATCAACTCCCTGGGTCTTTGAGCTTTCATATGAGAGCAGAAGGGCTAAAAACCACGGTTGAAAAAAAAATGGTCCTAAGTACCTGAGAAAGTTGAGGATTGCCACTTGAAAAATGGCTGCAATCAGACTTCGGAAAAATCACTTTTCAGGGAGTGATTTTGTTTTGCAGGAACAATTAAAAATGTAATTGGTTAACCCACAAAAAAATTGAAAAGAAATTGAAAGATGAGGGATTAGACGATAATTTAATTTGTGGTTCTGAAATCTCAGGGATG